AGTCAGTCCCTCTGCTTCCTCCAGCACTTAATGCTCCTAAATTCTCTTGCACTGGAGGAATATGAAATGGATCCATAGCTGCAAAGCCTAGAGGAGGTAATAAGATCACTAGCTTCATTATTTCATTCATTGCATCTGACTTGCTTTTACTGGCAACCGCAAGCTGCTGTTCCTCTTCAGCTCCATAAAATACTTTGGTTTATCTTTTAGCAGACTTTGAGATGTGAAGGTCAATATTTCTGCAAGGTGATAAATTTGAAGTTGTTTACTCAGGACGTGGATCTATTCTGCTACTTGCTTGACTTCATTTAGGCTTCTTATTCCTTTAGGGTTGCTTACCTGCCATATTTTTCAAATTATGCTCCATGGTGGTTCTTAAAACAGACTCATCAGAGAGTTTATTTCTGTGCGATTCTCTTGAAAAATGTTGCAGTCTTTGGAAAATTTTTGTACTGACTCTATATTTCTGCCATACATCATCTGCCATTTGCAGGAAACCTTGATTTTTTTACTCAGTTCTCATAAGAATATAAGCCATTTCATAATTTTAAAAAAAAAAAAAGTTTGAGTCTTATTTTTGTGGTGTACCTGTATGGACTTGTTGACTGACCCAGAGATGTGGTGCATGTATGTATCTGTGTGCATGTATGTAAGTGTTTGTGCATATGTGTCTAAATGTGTCCTGACATCAGGGAGTGGAGGAAGGTTATTGGTGTTACTGGAGTAATTTGGAGGTTTTATCTGTGGAATTGAGCTTGTTGCCAAGGGTGCCTTTTCTTTGTGTGTGTGCCTTGAAGTTGGTGAATCCCAAAAGCATGGATGTGCTGCCCTTGGGTAGGCTGCAGCACATGTCCTGTAGATCCTGTGCCTCCCCAGACTGCTGAATTGATCATGTATTTCATGCACAGCATGTAAGTGCACATTTCCATATGGTAAATCCATGCTCCCCACTGCATCTGAAGGTAAAAACATCTGGAAGCAGAAGGGTACCACTGTAGCAGCTCATGCAATCTATTGCTGCCTCCTTTTCTAGGTGTTTTGTGGAAGTAGGCTGGGAGACTTGTGGAGATTAATTCTGGGAGATGGAACCTGCTTGTAACTACCTCCTTCCCAAAAGTGCCACCTGGTCCTTCCCTCCTGTCACCTCACACGAATTCAAGGTGTTAATGATCTGTGCTTGGGACAGGTGACAGGAGGGGCAAGAACAGGAGGTCTCTGGGCAAGGGGATCAAATGTGGGCCATTTCCCTGAGTTTGCTTTTGGATTGTGTATACAAAGAGGGTTTGCTGTAACCTGAGGCCTGTTGGTTAGAAATCCTTGTTTTTAATAGGAGTCCTTCTCTCTATGCATATTTATGCAAAATAATTCAATTTCTGGCAAGGCTTGCATGTTGGACCATTTGCTACACTGCTGCCTGTGGTTTGATTCCTTTTTTGCTTGTATTCAGTCTTTTTTCCTGGTATTTGCATTACTGCTGTTTTGTCTTGGTTCAGATGATACTTGGTCTCTCTTTTGGGTCTGATGTGTGTCATTTTTATTTATTCATATAGTGTTTTCAGTTTTTATAGTTCTTTTCTGTTACATCAAAAGTCAACAGTTTGAGTAAGTTCCAACTGTTGTAGCATATGTAGTCTGGCTTCATCATCTCCTGTTGCCTTAAACTGTAATCTCTAACTAAATTAGGCAGCCAGCATGCCAAATGTGCACAGGGACTGAGTGTATGGGTCTGTGGGTGTTATTTTGGGGCATTGATTTTTAGGGCTTAGTGAATGCAGTTTGTGTGTGGCTCTGTGCTGATGCTGGCAGGTCAGGTGCTGTATGTTACTTGTTTCTGCAGCCCCTCAGTCAGTGGGACTCTCTTGGGGTAAACACAACATTGTGCAGCTCTATGACATTGTCCAGCTCTCCACAGGTGCCTGTGCAGAGCAGGGAGTTACACTGACTGTGTGTGGGTGTGTCACACACAGTGGGGAGTGCCAAGGCACTGAGGAGCTTGTGCATGCCAGCTTAGATCAAATTAACCCTACCCACAAATTCAGATTCTGCTTCCAGCTTTGTCAGTTCTCTGGGAGGTCAAGACACTCTTTGCCTGCTCTCCCTCTGAGAGCCTTTGCTCTGATTTTTCTGCTTTTCTTAAATACTGCTACCACTGAAGGCTGCACTGCCTCAAGTCTGTTCCCCAAGTCTGGAGATGAGCCACTTGTCTTTATTTTTCTGTAAATTGCATGATGGTTCTGGGTTGAAAGTGCAAGTGTCACACTGATAGAGAGAGGGCCCGCAGTGCCCAAGGACACAGCATGTCCCTCACAATTCTTTTTGTACGACAGACAAATAATAGAAGTGACAGGAGCTGTACTGATGCTGCAGTTTGAGATAGTGCTGCAAAAATAATCTAAATAATCATATAAAACAAACAGAAGCAAAATTTAAAGGTATTCTTTCACATTTCTTCCCTTGGCTTCCCATTTTTTTAAGTCCAGATGGGTTCATTGGCAGTATTCATATCACAGTGCCTGAGAAGCTGCAGTGGTATGGCCCAAGAAATTCCTTCCCACGTTCAGTCTTACTCCTGTTTGTTGCTACAAACAGGAGTAAGACTGAATGTGGGAGGGAATTTCTTGGGCCAGCCTTACTTCCACGGGGTGTTTTCTGTGCAACTCAGCTGTGGATAATGAACAGATGCTGGGAAACTAGTTATTAACACATAGGGAAGGCAGCTGAGATTTCCAAGGCTCAAAAAAGAATATAGTATACTTCAGAAACTGTCAGGAGATGTGTGACAAGAGTGGGCAAGATAAAGATAATGAATTATTTCTGGGCAAGCCACATGGCACAGATAGGGATATTCTGCCTGGAAAGAGGTGACCAGATGGGCTCATGGAAAATGCAAACAGGGGCTTGGAGTTTTTCCCTTGTTTCATAAGAATTGAGTCACATCAAGTGGGTCTAACAATTGGCAAGTTTAAAACAATTATTCTTTTATTTTGCAATTATTCTTTTATTTTGCACAATGCTGCAAGACAACGTAGATATAAATCTGGTTTAGACAGACATATCTATGAGATAAGAAATTTGCTGGGGTCTTAAGGGTCTGGGACAGTAACTCAAAAATATCAGTGTGTTCTTGCCCTTTTCTTATGCTTTTCCTACATATATAATAAGCCCTGTTGGACAGGCAAACCTATTGTCTGGCCCTGCACAGCTGCTATTTTCTTTAGTGTAAAAAATAGCTCTGGCAATTTCATGTTCTGATATCTACAGTAACAGACCCATTTAAACAAATCTTATAAGTTGGTAATACGCCAACAGCCTGGTCATTAAGCTCTGTCAATATTTGGTGTAGTAAAAACTTTTTACATTCAGCTACATTTGGTTTCTGTGCCCTGGGGAATTTTGGTGATTGATTGAAATGATTGATATTTCCAGGAACAAGTCTGAATTCATGATGAAATAACAGTGAGATAACATTCTAGGCAACTGGTTTTGTGCTGCTGCTTCCTCAACTTGTGTGAAGCTTCGAGGCCAAGCCTTGTTTTCTAATTTCTTCTAAGTAGCAGATGGACCCCTTTTTAAGATTACTTCTCCTACTGGGTGTGTGGGGGGGTGTGTATGTGTTTTGGGAGGCAGAACCTGTGAAAACTGAGTTTCCTGGCAAATTGGGTGTTTAGAGATTGATGCTGGTTGTTGGATAACATGGTAGTACTGCTAGTCTGCTCCTGGCTCAAGGGTGAGTGTAGTGATGTGTGTTAAAGATGGAGTGCTTTGGTTCAGTTCAGAGTTCTGTGTGTGTCTGGTACACACAAGTGGTTTGCTGCATCCTTTTCCTCACACACCTGCCAAAGGTAGATTTGGAAGTTTTCACTTGGATAAACTGGAAACTGCAGAGGGATTTTTTTTCAAGATCTCTCCTTACAGCTGCTAATTAAGAAAAAGGCAGATTTTTCTAAGAGATCAAACTGTTTGGATTTTTTTGTCTTTCCTATTGATTCCTTTTCAGCATGGTAGAAGCCAGTTGCATGAGCATGGTGGGGTGTTTGTATGTGAGTGTGGTTTTTTAAATTTAATTTTATAGAAATTCATTTTAGACCTGAACTATCCAGAATAAACGAATCTATTTGCAAGGTATGCTCTGATACCATATTCAAGCTTTTCCTAATGAATGCTGTTGCATGTGTGGAAAAGAAAAGTTTTCTTTCCCTCATAAAATAAGTACAGTATAATATTTGATTACATTCAATATCCAGAGTATGTTGTGTTTATATACAGTGTTTATGTAGCTGAGGAGCTTGGAATATCAGAGATGATGAAAATATCTCCTGGCTAACTGTAGTTCTGAGGGCAGTTAAAAACTGATTGAGTGTCCTATCCTGTGATCCATGTAGCTTACAAACTCCCTAAGTCCAACTTCTGTGTATTATTTTATTTACTGTGCATTCCTCATTATATTTTGTTTTCCTGTACTGTTTGCAGTGTTCCTGAGTGACTGGGCTATTCATTATGCAATATAAAATCAGTATTTATCCCAAAGTATTGCTACTTATCAGTTTTCTGGGAATATATGTTGGTCATTCTAAATAGAGGAGCAATATTTGGGTTTTTTCAACACAATTTTAAAACTGAAAAAAATCTGTAAGTAGTTTTGGGGAATTACAGTAATTTCAATTTGAACTTGTGTTTATACAATACCTGAAAATGGTGCATATAGTTCTGCTCTCTAACAATATTTGTTCTGTCTCCACCTTGAGAGAAAGTGCATAGATGTATGAATTTGTACACATGTATAATTGTGGAAAATAAATGCTTAAATATAAAATTATATTCTGAAAAGAATAAGTCATTTGCCTTTAATAAAACACTTTTTAAGAGTCTCTGATAAGTATTCTTTTTTTCTTGACAGTCTGTGGTGGACGACTGGATTGAATCATATAAGCAAGACAGGGACATAGCACTTCTGGATTTAATCAACTTCTTTATCCAGTGTTCAGGATGTCGAGGTACAGAACACGGAAAACAAGTTGTATAGAATAAATCTGACCTACAAATGTGTGTTAATGCAAATGCTGGTAAAGATGGGGAAGACACTTGGATTGGTGCTCCTTGTGTGCATGATTTGTATAGAAATACTGTCTGCATTCCAGAATAACTTGATTTAAAGCTTGTTTGTCAAGGGCTACCTTTTCTCTTTCTCACTTTCCTGTCATCATGCTTAAGTGTACAAATCCTCACAGAGACAATCTACTCATCAGCAGCAGGAGACAAAAGATCTGGTACTCAGGTAGGCATAGCTTTATTTTCCCTTTCTGTTTCTTTCCAATTTTTTTATTGCAAAAAATTAGTGGGTAACTATACCTTAACTTTGATTTTTTTCTTTCTTTTAGGAAAATGATTTTTTTTTTTAACTAAAGAAGAAGGAATCAGGCTTCAGTTCACAGCAAGAAAGATTTCCTGTGTTATTTGTTCCTCTGTGATCCTTTATCACGTCAGCAGCGAGTGCCCTGCCTTTTATACCCTACTTAAGCAGTCTCCATTACCAGGCATGCAGCAGTCAGCCATTCTAGCATTCTGTTGCCACGCTGTGCCTTGTAATGAATTTTTCATGTGTTGTCTTTTTTCAGTTAACTCAGCCTTGAAAAGAGACAGAGCTCCACTCTCTCTGTAGCACCCAGAACCAAGCTATTTACTGTTTTCTGATGCTTTCTAGAATTTGCTTTGAATAGAGTTGAAAACAACCCACAATTTAGTAATTATTTTTCTTCATTTTGTATCTGCTGTGTGAATACACCTTTAAGCCTCAAATGGTCTGGGTAGAAGTCCCTTTTCTTCCTCCTTATGTATAAGGTGAAGTCTTGAATAGTTAAAAGCATCAGAGAAAAGAAATAAGAACCATCATCAGCTTCAGCAACCCTTTTTCATAGCTGAAGGAAATAAACGTATTTTGTGAATGACAGGAAAGACTGAAGCTGTGGGAGCTTCTGTGAAAGGGCTGAAGGTTAGGGCTTAGGTTACCAGCCTGTGTCAATGTCTGCACTGTTCACGCAGAACCCCTGAAACCTTTTTCAGTTGAGCTTGGCAGCTTATGTGAAAGTAGTTGTATTCTATGCGCTTTTTTTCTTAACTCTCTCCTGAAGGTGTGTATGTGAAAAAAAGCAACTCCACAAGCTTATTTGTAAGGATTTGGGAGGCGTTAAACCAAAGGCATCCTTGGCCTTATGTTTATATTGTTGATGCAAGCTTTTGGTGAAGGCATATCATAGATATCTTCATTTCCCTGCTGCTCAATAATTTATTCTCCCTTTCTTTCTCCTCATTAGAGAAAGCAGCACTCTGATAAGGCTCCTAATTTTTCAAACCCCTTGTTGGTGAGTGATGCAGGCTGAATGCCCACTGTCAGCCATATGCTGCTGGAGCAAGTGCTTCCCAGAAAAGCTTTCTGTTTCTGGCTGGGAGGCAGCAGCACTGCGAGTGCCTGATGTCACTGACTTACCTGGCTTTTCTTTGAATGGTGACTTTTCATTTTCTTACAGTCCTCTGCTCTGTATCCCAGGGCTATCTCTGCTGAGCTTCTTTCAGTGCCTTCTGTTCCCAAACAGCAATGGTAGGAGAAAGGAAGCAAAAATTTCTTATCCCCATTCTATAATGTGTTTGGGAGATTTATTCCTGTGCTGGAATTTTTGCAGGGGATACAGTAGCAGCTGTAGAACATGGTTAAAATCCTAGCAATTCTTTGCAGTTTCCAGTAATACACTTGTTTTGTAGAATAAATAAGATTTTATCAGAAGAGAGTGGATTTTATTGGTAGTTCACTTAGGGTAAAGTGCGTACCAAGCTGTCCTTAATGGAAATGAGAAATAGGGGTCGTTACATACTTTGTGAGGAAGACAAAGATTCATTTTCATGGAAAGATCATATGTTATGACATCTTTATTTCCCTTTAGAGACTTTATTGACATTCTTGCTTATTTCTAGTTCTCATAAATATAACCACCCCTTGTGAATCTCAACAACTGCTTTGTCTTCCTTAATTTTCTTCTTTTGAGTTTGCTTCACTAACATTGTTTTGGATTCTCCAGCCTACTTTCCCAAAGTTGGATCTAAATGCTGACTGATAATATATCTAAGTTTGTGATCATTAACTAAAAGGAGAAGGACAACTAACTTGGGACAAAGTTTCTCAGGAAATGATGATCCTAGGCTTATAAATCTGCCATTTCAATCATGCTTAGAATCACTTGGTATCTAAATATATGTAAAGTACATTTAGCTTGATGTGTCTTTCAGAAATTTTGAGCAGGTGGAAGAGTGTGTGTCCATTTACTGGCTTTAATTAGACATTGGGGCACCAAACTGTTTCATTTAGCAACACTATTGACCCTTAAAAATACCTTTCTGCTTAGAGAAACATTGATTTTTATGTATTTATCCCAGTCTCTTGGGCAGCACAGATGCTTGAATGAACCTCTTGGCATCTTCCAGCTTTGCTTGTAGCTGTTGCTGAAATGAGAAGTGATGTCTTGTAAATATGAGTAAGCAGGCATATTATGTAAATTGTTAATACTAACAATTGTTAAATTAGTGGCTTCTGCAGGTGAATGTAAAATATCTGTGCAAAAATTAAAACTCAATAAATAGGCATTCAATAAATATTCAAGCATATCTGTCCTTTTTCAACTCTTCTGATTATCTGTTTAATGTATGTCATTAAAAATGTGGGAGATTAGGTTTTAGTGACTCCAGTAATCTTTCTTTTGTTTTTAGAGTGCTGTTTGGTGTAAATGAGAAATTTCTTGTATTGAGCTGTCAAAACAGCTCAGTTCAATAAGCAGATTTGCATGGGAGTTGGTCAGTTGTCATTTCCTCTAGTTTGCTTGCTCAATCTGTACATATGTTGCCTTTGCTAATTTTGATTACAAAGAAGTTAAATGGTTATGTAGAGAATTTTTCTTTATCTTGCTTGTTTTTTGCATTTGAGAATACAAAAAAGTCCCTGCCTTTCACAGCTTGTCTGTGTAGTCTTTTCCATCATGTTATGTTGAATTTTTGTGGCAGAAAAATGATTAACAAGGACTGATACATTCACCCATTCACTTTCTGTTTCTAACCCTTTTAAAATGTGTTGCTGCTTCTAGAGGGAGCATCTTATATCAGATAGTACCTTAGGTGAAAAGGTAAGTGTTAAAATACTACTTCTTCTGTGGAAAAACAGCAAAAATGCTATTTGCCGTCCTTTAAAATAAAACAGGTATGTCTGTTGGATGTAGGTGTTTATTTGCATGGGATTTACAATCTGTTAAGCAGGTGGTGTATTTACCTTCTTATTTCTAAGTCAGGAGCAAAATTTCAGAGATTTCATTATTAGGGAACTTTTTGAAATTAGCTTGTAATGATAAAGGCCTTTTTTCAGTTAAGTGCCGCTGGACTGGGGGTGGAGGTTGTATCCACACTACTGAACTTTCTGTCTCCATTGTTGGTGCTTTGGTCTGCAGCATTGTGGATTCAGGCACTCTGCTCCCTTGCAGAAGTGTTACAGTTCAATGTTCAGAGTTTTCTGGGGGATTTTGTAAGCTCTCTTCCATTGCTTTCTTCTTTGTAGAAACATATTTTTGCCCTTTCCCCTTTTTTCTCTTCTTCTCTTGAATGTTTATGTAAAGCACAGCATTGAGTGTTGATCTCTCTGAGCTGGTTGCAAGCAAACTGAAATGTCTAATCAGCAATATGTATGTGAGGTCCCAGAAGGATTATAACTGTGTCAGTGTGATGCTGCATCAGGGCTAATTAGCTCTGCCTCTCAGACTGAGTAATTAGCTCAGGTATCCTGCTCTGCTGCTATGACAACCAGGCTGTTTCCATTTTTGGAGCTCCCTAGATTTAGAGCTGACTTGGGTATCTGCATGGCTGTCAGCTCGTGCCTTCTGTTATTGATAGAAAACAAACAGAAAGCTCCTCGAGCACTCTGACCTTTCTACATTTTCAAGGCAGAGAGCCATGCTTGTGGAATAAATATTTTTTTTCCTAACCAGAAGCAATTAGTGGTTGAAACAGCCTCTTGAGTTGTGAAGGAAAACCAGCCACTGAGTCCATAGGAGAAAAGAAGCTTTCTTTTGCAGGGGAAAAAGGTCTCACATAATTGAAGAGGAAACTACTTGACTGCTTTCAAGTGCACAGTGAAACTATTCCCATTCCTTCTCTCCTTTCCATCTCCATCATTAGCCTTCCTTCTCACCTGTTTTCTGCTGGGTAAGCCAGAAACTTGTACATTTTTAAGCAGGTTTTCAGAAGTGGTCATTGATGAGTAAATATTCCAGCTGTCACCTGTTGGCCTGGAGTGCTGGTGCTGCTTAAGGCTGGGTTTTTCTCACTTGTGGGTAAGCAGAGATGTGACTCTTTTCCCAGGGCTTAAAGCCAGACTCCTTTGTGGAACTTTTCCTGTGAATCAAACACTTGGGGTTCCACACTGTCTTCCCACTTCATCCTTGAGTGCCTGGTTGTTATTCACCTATTCTAGATCCTCTGTCGAATTCTGATTGAATGGCACAAACTGTGCCAATAAGTGCAGGAGTTCTGAGTTGGCTTGCTCATTTGGTTTTTATTAATGTTCTATGAGCCTAATTAAGGGCAAACTAATAGATTTCTGCTTTGCCAAAGGAAATTGAAGGCTAGAACCAGGAAAAAGCAACATAGAGTGGATGTTGTATGGTCTGGTAAGAGCAGTGAACAAGCAAGCGCTTACTTTGCTGTTGGAAAGAATTCCAGAAGCAAATTAGCCAGGAAATAGTGCTATTTACTCTGATGGATAATATTTTAATAAGGGGGTGTAACATGGTAATTGGAGAAATGGTCTAAAAAATTTAGTTGTCCATGATTTTGTTTTGTGATTGATGGAATCGTTGTTCTGTACAGGTGGATGTTAGGGACCACAAAGAAGACTTTGGTTAATCTAATTCCCTGCATATGGGCCTTTTGCAGGGAGCTGCAGAGAGTGAGAAATGTTGTTGACTTTGGCATGTGTTAAAAAGCTTTACCTCTTGAGTCATTAAGTTATTACTAAGAAGTTGGTATCATAAACATTTTGTATTGTGACCAAATTAGAAAATACTGCGATTCATTGCATTGGAGCTTGTATTTTTATTAAGTGTATAAAGTCTGCTTTCTCACAGTTTCTTCAATGAAATCCCTTTTCAGTGTGTGAATATAGGGGAGAATGTTGCAAAGTAAGAACTAATATACATTTTGAAAAATGGTTACTTACTTGTGTAGGATTTAAGTCATAGCAATGGCAAGGATTTCTAAAATATTTTGTATGCATAGTATAAAGAAATAAATGCACCCCAGTAACTATAAAGCAGTTAAAAACATGCTATTAACCACATTAAAAAATGGCAAGATTAGACTGTAGGATGGAAATGGCTTGATCTTAATTTCATGTGTGGTGTAGATAAACAAGAGTTGAACTTTGTGTTTCTTGGTTCTGAGCCTTGAGGTAATTTTTAGTGTGTTTATCTTGAAGTGAAATCTTACAAAATTTAAACTAAAAATAAGATGTAAATGGCTTGGGTGGAAGGTAAATCAGATTACCAGGCATACATTAAATGTTTCATTAGTTCTTTAAATGGCTGTAGGTAGGGTTAAAAAGTTCATATCAGACTCTTGACAATTAATATGGTTATGTCAAAATCAATTTTTTGTGAAGAAATACAAATAGTTAATATCTGTTGACATTCTTGAAATTAAAGCATTGGTTTTGTTGTGTGTATTGTTTTAAATCAAAAAGTTTTTTACTATTTCTTTCTGTTTGCTTCTGAATGTGTTTGTACTTGTCATCTCATGTACTCTTTCTTCCTTACTACTTCTTTTTCCTCTTCTTTAGATATTTAAAGATTCTGTAGCTATAAGGAAAGGAATTATAATTTCTTTTAAAATTCTTTTAAACTTTACTTGCTACTGTCTGGGGATGAGAAGGGTTGAAAAGTTTTTTTAAAAAAACTCCATCTGAAAGTGTAAAAAAATGTTGAAGTAGTGCAATACATTTTATATCTACTTGTGAACTAATAGCATCTCTTTCCCAAAAGATGCATCCTGCTACTTTCAAAAACAAGTGGGAAAAAGCCATCGGAATTTACTTTCTGTGCAGGAGACATGAAGAAAGGGCACACTGGTTTGTGGTTTGAAAATCTGAATGAAATACCTGCTGTGCTGTGTTCTGACTGCAGTCCAAGCCTTCCCTCTATGAATTGGTAGCAGGAGCAATAGTAATTTAAACCAAACATATCATTCTTTATTTTTTGCTACCTGAATATATCAAAGTAGTCGCATTGCATGTACAACAGCAGACCAAAAAGGATCAGGCTTTAAATCAGCTAATAACTAATCTATGGGTATGAATTAATACAAACTTCTAAATAATTTAAAATTTTAGAGTGAATCTATAATGTAAGGAAAGACAAATTAGCTATGAAATGAATTCTGCACTGTATAGTTCTGTATAATAAGTTCAAATCTCTGCTGAAAATGAAAGCACTCCTTGTACTCTTGGAACAAAGTCTGTGTTCTGCCCCTCTGCACTACTGAGTAAACTCTGAGCTTGTAAAATTAATTTTGGCACTGCTCACTGGAGAAAAATTTCTCAAGGAGTTAAAATACTATTGCCTGTTTTCTACTATATTAATTTGATTACATCCATATTGATCTGGAAAACAGTGCTACTCACATGACTATGAAGGTGAAACTTGAGTCTCTCAGGCCGTGCTTTTTTAATGCTGCAGCTTTTCAAAAGAAGAGCAGTAAATATCTCTTGGTGTTAATAATTCCAGATAGGTGCTGCCTTACTAGCCTTTTTTTTTTTTTCTTTTTTTTTTTCTTTTTTTTTTTCTGTATTACACAAATTTATTACAGGAGGAACACCCTTTGTACTAAGCAGAGGAGTAAAAGCCTTAGTTTGATTTATTTCTGCAGTACTATTCTCAGACTTGTGAACAAATTATGTCAGTGTATGAGTTTGCTATCTGTGTGTGAGATACATTGCTGGATTTACTGTAGATGACAGGTGCTTCCTGAGAAGACAAGAACTAATTATAAAAAGCAACCAAACACAACTAGATCTTAGATTTGTTCTGACTGGTTTTCAGATTGGGAAAGTACTCATGTCTCTGGCCTTTCCAAACATGCAAATTCTACTGAAGGTTAGTCAGACCTCTTGCAGACCAAGGGTAGGAATTAAATTGCAAAAAAGATAGTTCTCTCAGCAAACACTGTAATTACAGTTCTCTCTCTGCATTAGTGAAGCCACAGACTTACTTGATTAAGTGCGGGTCTGATACACTGCAGTAATTATTTCTGAAGAGAAGAAGATGAGGATGATAAGAAAGGGTCTGTATCCTAATGAAAAAGTGGTATTCTCTGGCACAAAGAAAGTGATTAAACCAAATCCAATATTCTGTTAATCTGCAGGCATTCAGGAGTACCTAGGTATAGGAAAAGAAAGCTTGGGTTTCAAAGAAGAGACATCCTACTTGGAAAAAGTGGACTTTGTAGCAGATCCAGTCCTGCTCACATTCCACCATTTCCTACTTGCTGAATGGCAACAGTCAAGTTGCTCAGTGACCCTTCTGCTCTTAGGTCTATGTCTTGTAACAATTTTATCTCTTAGTTTTACTTACTGTTTAGAATGAGCTGTAGACTAACTTCTTGATCCCTATCATTAGGACATATAGTGGATATAATTAAAATTCTGTCGTTAGAGCCTTTGAAGACAATTTACTTCAGATCTGCAGCAAGGGGATTATTCTAAAGCTGTGGCCTAACTAAGCAAAGATATGAAGTGATTTTTTGCAGTTCATGGAATTGTAAAATGGATTGGGTGGGAAGGGACTTTAAAGTTCATCTTATGCCACCCCTGCATGGTCAGGGACACCTTCCACTATCCCAGGCTGCTCCAAGCCCCATCCATCCTGGCCGTGGACACTTCCAGGAATCCAGGGGCAGCCCCAGCTTCTCTGGGCAACATCTGCCAGGGCCTCAGCACCCTCACAGGGAAGAATTCCTTCCCAGTATCCCATCTAACCCTGCCCTCTGGCAGTAGGAAGCCATTTCCTGTATCCTGTCCCTCCATCCCTTGTCCAAAGTCCCCTCTCCAGCTCTCTTGGAGTCCCTTTAGGCACTGGCAGGGGCTCTGAGCTCTCCCTGGATCCTCCCCTTCTCCAGGTGAGCACCTCCAGCTCTCCCAGCCCGGCTCCAGAGTAGAGGGGCTCCAGCCCTTGGAGCATCTCCATGGCCTCCTTTGGACTTGCTCCAGCAGCTCCGTGCCTGTCTTGTGTTGGGAGCCCCAGGGCTGGAGGCAGCTCTGCAGTGGTGGTGTCACCTGAGCAGAGGGGGAGAATCCCCTGCCCTGCCCTGCTGCCCATGATGTGGGATGAGCCCAGGATGGGGCTCTGTGGGCTGTGAGCACAGACTGCTGGGTCACAGCCAGTTTTTCATCCACCTGTTCCAATTAGAGTTACACACACTGATGTAGTTGTGTTTGAAGAGAAAAGGAAATATATTAAACTGTTACACCTGTCTGGACATCATCATTTCATCCTGGCATGGCACCATCAATAGAATCTCAGCAGACCACATTCTTTTCAGGTTCAGAGGAAAGGAATCAATTAGTTTTCATATCTTGTTTTATAATTTGGTGAATTGGACAAGTGGCCAGTGACAGAGTATCTTTTTGCTCCGAATAGTGAGAAGGTTGAGTTAGAGTTGGCAGCACTTTGATCTAGAATTTTCCAACCATTGCAACAGGTTGAATTGTCTTTTCAATCAATCACCAGGGAATTTGCTTCCAGAAGATGTAAACCTTTCCATTAATATAGAGAAGAAAATGTATGGCAGTCCACTCCTGGTACCAATTGTGGGTATTTCAATACCAGATTGAATCTTAAGTACTGGTAAACAAAGGAAGGAGATTCAGCTGACGTTAATTTTTTTATCTGACTTAAAAAGGATTTAATCTTAGTGATAATGGTGCAGAAAGCCAGACTGAGTTACTCGTTGTTCTCAAAATGTGTTAATTAATGTATTTTTTTTTTTCTGTTGCACTTTTTTCCCCCCCCTTTTCCCCTGAAGACTCCAGGCTTGTAGGGCTGAAACCAAATAGTGAAGGTTTGTTATTGATGCAGAGATGCAGAAATTTGCCTTACTGGTGTTATATGCTTTTCTAAAAGAATAAGAATTTTAATTAATAATTAAGAAACAGCTTATTCTGATATTTCACTGTTGAGTGTATTTGTTGTAAACTTCTGACTAAACTCATGGATTAGAGTTTAATTGTTGATGTTTATGTTTGGAGTTGGTTACCCTTCTGTCAAACAGATACCTTTCTTTTTTTTTCTCCTTTTTCTGGTATGTGAGTACACTTGATCTGTAAAGATTTTTGAATATTTTCTTTGTCCTGTGTTCAGCTCCACTTGTAGCACTTAAAAGGAGAAAGTGACAAACAGGAAAGGTTCCAGCTCAGACCCATTAATAGAAACCTTTGCAAGCCATTTTGTGTAATAGCAGTGATGGATATTCCCACTCTTACATTTTAATATTCAGCCTTTTTTTTCCCCTCTGGTTTCCATAGTAGCCTGTAACAGTAGGATTATTCTTCAATTATGTGATGTGTGTAAAAATCACTTTATAGGGCTCTGAGCTGGCCACTTCCTTGGGAAGAACAGCCTGCTTTTGGGGAAGGGAGCAGTCCTCAGCCTGGGAAGTGCTCATTTCTGCTTGTGCTGAGCAAAGCTTGCAGTTCCTTCTGACTGGAAACAGGGAGAGACATCATACTGTGATGAAAAATGCATTTAACCCTTAGGGAGTTGGAGACTTTGATCTCATGCAAACAGTTTAAGGTGGCAGGGATTGTGAAAATGGGCAGTCCTCCCTGCATTTCTTTCTTACTCTTGTCAGCCTATAGTAACAGCAACCAAGTATTAAATGTCACAGAATCCCAGCATGGTTTGGGTTGGAAGGGACCTTAAAGCTTCTATTGTTCCACCCCCTGTCATGGGCAGGGACACCTTCCCCTATCCCAGGTTGCTCCAAGCCCTGTCCAACCTGGCCTTGGACACTTCCAGGGATAGATGAGCCACAGCTTCTCTGGGCAGCCTGTGCCAGGGCCTCACCACCCTCACAGGGGGGAATTCCTTGCCAATATCCCAAGTAGCCCTGCTCTCTGGCAGTGGGAAGCTAATCCTCATTGTCCTGTTGCTCCAAGCTTTGTCCAAAGTTCCTCTCCAGCTCTCTTAGGTGCTACAAGGTCTACCTAGAGACCTATAAAAATTAATTACATGTATGAAGTCTCATTTGTAGGGAAAATGCAAGAAGGAGAAGGGGAAACTGAAACATTTGTAACAGTGGAATGAAGGATGGAAAGGTAGACCTCTGCCTTTAAATGCAGCAAATTATAAGGGGAAAGGAAGAAATTATGGATTCTGAAAACTGCAAGAAAGGAATGTGCTCTTTTTAGGATACATCTCCACAGAGGAGCTTAGGAAGCAGGAGAAAAGAGAGGGAAGCAGGCATACATCCTAGTGGTTTTGCTTTGCTTCAACAGCCAAAATAGCAGTTTTCTTCTTTTACCTGATGAACACACTGCTTTAAGGTACTGCAGAATGATGGAGCCAGAATATACCACTGAACAGGGCCAGAATTTACAGTCTAATTCAATTTTTGAATAGTCTCATCAAGCAGGTGATCCATAGTGTAACACCCCTTGGTGTTTATGTTGTGAGCTTCAAGGACAATTTCATGGGGGAAGGACAAGAAAGCAATTAATGGCTAAGAGTCTGTGTTGACAAGAAAGAGAATGGAGTTATGCCCAAAAAACAGGTACTCTATAGAAAACTCAGCCTTCTGGTTAAACTTAAAAATGTGACTGTTACAGGAAGGCACCCTGATACTGAGACTTCCAGACATCTTAAACTTACAGTGGGGGAGAGGGAGACTGAAATGTCCTAAAAGGAAAATTTGCTGAAAGCTGGTGGGGGGTAAATACTGTTTGTTACCAAATACTGAGAAAATGAAATGCCCTTTACAAAATAAAACACTTGATAAAGGTTCTGTTAAAATATTTTGTTTTACAGTATCACTCTGTATTTTCCCACTTTAAAGATTTTTTTCCACCAAGCTGTAAGACACAGCCAGATGAGTTACAGGGTTGGTTAACCTGGTCTGGTGGAAGGTGATTCTGCCCATGGCAGGCACTTGGAACAAGATGAGCTTTAAGATCCCTTCAACCCAAACCATTCTGTGAGTCAGCTGGCTGCTTTATTCTGTGTCTTGCATTTGTGTATCTACCAGGAATTACATGGTCTGTTTACGCAGCCATTTTTAATTTGCACAAAATATACCCTTTCAACCATTTCAACTATTTCTGGTAGTTAAATTTGTAAGGTAGAGGATCCAAAGCAATGTAAGATGAGTCATAACTAAGAATTTAAGAAATTTTTATGATTAAATATGCTTTACTTGCAGTGCTCCTCTGTGTTTTTCCTCTTTCTTTTTTACTTAGCAGCACTTGATTAATTTTCCCCCTTGAGTCCACTATCTTTATGTTAATTAATATACTCAGACTTTTCATTCCCTCTTGTATTTCATCTGCCATTTATTACTATTTGTCTTTCAGCACTCTTTTCAGGACCTGCTGCTTTATTACTTATGCCAAGTTTTGGGTTTCTAGTATTAATAAGTTTATACAGGTGAATCTTTTTTATATTTTGCTCTCAAATACTCCTTAGTGAATCTTAGACACAGACTGTTGAAACACATCGTGTGTTGAGCTTTCTTAGTTTTCTGCTCCTCTTTCCACATTCCCATTTATATTTGTCCTGTCACCACTTGCTGTGATCTGTGTGTGTTCCAGCAGTTTATCTTTTCTCAATTCTGAGGTGACAGTTCCCTCTTGCATTGTATTTTTAGAAGCATATCCAGTCTTTTATGGATTTTGGCTCTAATATAAGCTCTCTCATTCTTTTACCCATGCCAAAACATGTTGAGCAACTATGCATTGTGTTGTTTTAACTTCTTTTTTGATATGATGCTTCCTCTTATTTTTCTATAGTAGCCAAGTTCCAGCCAAAAATTTAACATTTAAAGTTCTCCTTAAGGGCATTTTATCAACAGGGTTTCTTCTGGTTATCTTTGTAAATCCCTTTTAAGTAAAGATCCTTTCTCTGCTCTGGAAATGTCCAATCCAGGAACAGAGTCATTGATATCAAAAGCTTTTGAGGCAGCAGATAGAAAATCTGTGCCACTCCTAGAGGGGAGGTTTTTCAGATAATATGGGACATGTCTAAACCATTGCTGTTACTAG